AAAAAAAAAAAAAAATTCAAAGAAGTAAATATCTTTCTTTTTATCTCTTTCCAACTTGAAGGCATCTCTAAATGGTTCTCAAGAAACTGTGGGCTACATAAAAAATTTTCAAAGAAGGAGACATCTCGTTTATATCTCTTTCACCATCATTAAAAGCTGAAGAGTGGGAATCAACTTTTATTTAAAATATATGCTTAAAGCTTTAATGCTGTCTTTTAAGGAAAAGATAATTTGTAACAATATAGAAAATGCTGTTTGTTGATCTAGATGGCCAGAAAAGAAATGTGAATATACAAAGAGAAAAAAGATGAACTTGCCTCTGTGACTGCATGAACATAGAAAAGAATTTTAAGCCTTCTTCCACATTCTTCTCTGTTGGACATCCTGATAGTGAGTATTCCAACAGGGATCAGGAACCCCATTGAAGCCCAAAGGAGGAAGCCATGAAGTGTAATCTCAAATAACAGTTTAGGACTTATCTGCAATGATAATGAGTTAATTAAAGACCAAGGCAGACAATAAAAGTAAAAATCATTTCCATAGACATCATCATCTGGATGGATATTGAGTACCTCATGAATGCTTGCTTTGTTATTGCTATGGTTCCCTGTGAGTCTCACTTGTTCTTGAGAAGAGCTAACAAATGGCAGAACAAAATTAGGAAGAGGTACAAACATGGTGAAAGAAACTAGTTTCTGCAGAAGATGCATCAATGATCCTCAATGAAAGATGGCAGTGCTCAGAACGAGAAGAAGAATAATGGAGATCCCCTTATATGCTTGAAACTTTGATAAGGAACAACAAAAAGCTGCAGCAAGTCCACAATAATGTGTTGTCAAAGATGGCATAATAAGAAGGAAGACGCAGCTAACATGATTTCCTCCTGGAACAGGTACCCTAATTTCATTATCTCTTTCTCAGGGAATTATCACACTGCTTTCTCACTACCGAAACCTCATACATATATAGACCCACTGAAAAGAAAGATTGTCCATTTTTGTTTAAAAAAAATTCTCAAAAGTTGAAATTTAGCATTCAAGTCTTCTTTTATCATGTAGATTGTAAGGAATTACGTTGATGGTTCATGTAAGAAAAATAATACAGTCTGAGAAAAGAAAAGTGGGGTTCACTCGGGATGTTGAATTTCAGAGCAAAAAGAATGCGGTTTTCTTCGGTGGGGAATATAAATTCTAAAAGAGATCAGACAAAGTGGAACCTGACATGCCATAGTAGCAAACATTATCTTCTGCTTTCCACTAGTATTGTTCATATCTCATCATTTAACTGTTACAACAACCACAAAAATTTAATAAATACCTAATCTTTTCTCTTTTCTCTCCGTCTCTTTTCTCTTTTTCTTATATGAAGAAAAGACTATAATCTTAAGCCTCATTAGATGACAAATTATATTTTTATTTAATTTTTTTAATTGGTTTGGACAATTAAGGTGTTCCCTGATCAATTTATGTAGATCTCAAAATTAATCCTTCTTAAACAATAGTAAACTTGCACTCTCACAGCACGATTCCTCAGGTACTGACTTTAAAAATTCTAAATCTAGCTTACAAATAACAAGTGGATCTATCCAACCCAAATATCTACATTTAATTATTTACTGTGTTTTTTATCTGCATTTAATTATTCACTGTATTTTTGAGGAAGTACATGATGATAAATTTAATTTTTTTGGCGCTTAGTTCCTTCTGTATCAGCTCTAATTTCTCCCATAATTATGATTCATTTATCTCTAGAAGCTAAACCAACCCGTGATAGTGTTAACATATATTGTAAATGACATTATTTCATCATGAAAAGCCGGAAAGTAGTTTTAATTTATGTTGATATTCTTAGAGGAACTAAGAACCAAATATTACAAGACATGTGCAGCAAAGGCCACCATAGCGCATAAGTGATTCAACTTTTTCAAAAGTTTCATGTGGTTCTTATTCTTTGTTTCCTTGGGACGGAAGTCCTGTGATGATCATTTGGGCCTACGTTGTTGCCTGCTTGTTGTATATACTTGGGATTCATTGCTTAAAGGTGTGTGTGGGTGATACGGTTTTATTAATTTTTTTCTCCTTCATTAATCTTTTGATATTGAAATTCATGCGGTCTTGAATTCCTATAAGAAAAATGATATCTTTATTTTGGTTTTGATCTTCATGCTTCTTGATTTGTGATGAATTTACCATGTGCTTATGTTATGAATCTAAATCATTTTAGATCGATTAAGATTATTATATATGTAATGTAATCAACTCTTTTCAATGAAATATCAAATCAATTGGTTAAGGATTTTTTTATTTTTCTGAAGAATTAAAATTTGTTAAAAAGAATATAAAGGGTACTCAAACAAGGATTTAAGAGTTAAGACCACACAACTTTAGAGTTGTGGCTTCAAACTTTTATGTATATAGGTTTCGTGCTTGCTTATTTCATAAAGTAGTCTAGTCTTTGTCTAACAAAGTCAAGGTCAAGCAATTATCTCTCTTCAAATGGCGTTTCTCAATGCATGCCATTAGACCTCATAGAGAAATAGCTTGGATAATCTCCAGCTCATGCATCTTTCCCGTTGGGTGAACTCCTAGATATCAAGGCTGGGAACTTCCCTTCTTCAGACTAGTGCCCGTTTATCTCCGTTGCTTTTTGTGTTAGTTGTCTTTCAACATTCATTGAGTCAACTCGAGTATTGTATGCACTTGTATTGCCTTGTACTTTACCTAAAAAAAAAGGGATAGGTACTTCTGTATCTACTCTTCTTCCCATGTTGAAATATGTCTGGCTTTAACTAATTAAATTACATGTGTAATATTCTTTTCTCATAACTTGTAGTTGTAGCAACATAAACTATTTAAAATTTTAGATTTATATACTTTTTAGATCTTATGACTATCTAATGGACCAAATTGTTAAAAAGACTTAGTTGAGTTCATTATTAGTTGCACACCTGCATGGCTTTTATAAATATTTTGTTAAAACTCAACAGAGGACATGAGACAATCATAACTCTTTTTCTATTATGGTTGGCATGTCACTTTTGAATCAACAGCAATGTCCAACTTAATAATCGTGAAGAAAGAAGGCATACTCACAATATTAATTGGTTAAGTGGGAATGACCCCATTTTGATTCTAATATTTCGAAAACAAGTGAAACCCGTCATTGATTTCATCCACTTATTGTTTTTCAAGTATAATAAAGTGATATGACTTTGGGGAAAGGAAAGGGCTGTTGATTGGAGGTCTCTAAGTAACTCTTTTCTCACAGTCGTCTTCCTCTAGTCAGCAGAATTAATTGGTTGAATTAAACCATAAGGGCTTGAACTTCTAGGGATGTCAATATTAAGAATCTAAATTAAAAAGAAACTCCATTCATTATTTTTTGTGCACTTAATTTGACTTTTTGACTTTTCAAATATAAATTTTAAATAAACATTTAATAACCTACATGAACAATAATTAATAGTTTATTTTTCCTTATATGAAGTTCTTTTCAAATATTTTTATTTGATTAAAAAAATTTTAATTATCACTTATATAATAGGTTAAATTCTCATTCCGAATTCATGTTTAAAATGTTAAAAAATTAAACTCAATTTATAAAAATGAACAGAAGGGGAGTACCATATTGTAATTGCAACAAACCAGGTAACTCCTTCCAGTCCAAGTCTTCTCTTCTGGAAGACTTGCAAAGCTTCGAGGTGGATCCTCGGGATAGACACTTCAATGCTTAAGTTACCAATAGTCTGATCTACCTTTAAGAATTATGGAAAAATAAACTTTAGGTCAGTTTCAATTACTTTTTTAAGATGGCGCTTGCAAGTATTTATAGGCCTTAATGAGGTATCCACATGGCCTGTTTAACGAGATAATCGAAGTCTGATGTGTCCATTCAGGCGATGATCTTGGGGATAGAGGATTGGGTGCAGACATGCCTACTATAGCTGTCATGCAACTGTATGATCGGGAAGAACTAAACTTATAAGTTATTTTGGTCATTAAAGAAGTGTAGCAGTACGTCCGAGGTCCTCAACCTTAGACCTATCCTTACACTATTTCCCCCTCAAAGTCATTCACTTGTGAATGATGTAGTTGGAGGTGGCAAGGGTTGTGTATAATCATGTGGAAATGTGTAATGAAATGTGATGAAAGAAGCAAGTAAAAATTCATGCAGTATATGATTTGACTATAGTGATCATTGTATTATGGTCATAATCAAAGTAAAATTGGTGACGTGTAGTCACTATGGCCAAAATTGAGATAAAATTCGTGACTTGAAGCCATTGAGGTAGTAGCCGAGGTAAAATTAGTGACACGTGGTCACTGAGGCTATAGTTGAAGTAAAATTGGTGACTTGTGGGCACTAAGGCCATAACCGAGATAAAATTAGTGACACAGGTCAGTGAAGCCGTAGCCAAAGTAAAATTGGTGACTCGTAGTCACTAAGGCCGTAGCCGAGGTAAAACTGGTGACACGTCACTGAGGCCGTAACCAAAGTAAAATTGGTGGCTCATGGTCATTAAGGCCGTAGCCAAGGTAAAATTAGTGACACATGGTCACTGAGGTTAAATACTTTGTAATATAATGAAAAACATCTATATGAAAGAAAGGGTGTGGGCTGGGCTTAGATAGGCTCGTGGAAAAAGCTTAACACGGAGTTAGTAAGTGATATGATAGTTGTCTTTTAAAAGACATGTGCAATAAATATGGGCTGTAAAAAATAACTGAAATAACTCAATGACGCAATCGAAAACAAATTGTCGAATTCGAAAGAGTCCCATTAGGAATTAATCATCAAATTCGAATTGGTGTAATTGTGACCGTCAGATAAGATTAATCATAATCGTTGAAGCACACATTCATGTTAGTATATATAGCTATACTTCTGTAAATTTTTATTACTTTTGTCGTATTTACTACTGAAGTTTTGCCAAAATTTTAACAGAGCTAGTACGACTAGACTTCTGTGTAGAGTGTTTTGAAATACAACTAAGTTCTACACTACCGAGATCAGGTAATTTAATGTTCTTTGGTGATTTTGATACTAGTGAAGAGTTTGATTTTCCTCTCACCCTCTTTGATTTAGATTTGAGTCCTCTAAAAGAGGTTAGGTTTAGGAGTGAGAGTGACATAGAGCGTGAATTAGAGTTTACTGAAGATCCTGATTACATCCCACCTCCTACTCTGTGCAGTGAAAGCTACGAAACGGAAGATATGTCGTCAGAGGAAACATTGAGTGTTAGGGGGAGTGAGGAAGTTAGGATGGTAGAGGAAGTTAGTGTAAGAACTAAATTGTCCAAGTCAGAGAGGACGATGAAAGAGATGGGAGGTGAAGAGGTAGTTGAAGGAGAGGGAGTTCCTTCGAATAATTTGGAGGCTGATGGTACATGTGAAAGGTGTTATGATGTGGAGGTAGACATTGTGTCTGAAGTGATGGGGTATGAGACTGAATGGCCGAGTAGGGAGAATCTAGTACATATAGTTGAAACGTATGATCTTCCTTCATAAGTGTTGATTAGGCCAACTGGGTTGGAGGAGAGAGCGTGCTCGGCACCTTGGGATCATTGGATGCCTATTTATGCCCATTATTTATTAGCAAGGCTGAGGTTCCCCACCCTAAAACTCCTAGTTGGGTTGTTGTTGGAGTATGGTATAGCTTTAACACAACTTGCCCTAAACGCCATGAGGGTTGTAATAGGTTTAAGTATATTGTCGAGCTCGGGGTGTTAAGGTACCCACTGTAAATATGTTTAAGTATTTCTTTGTCATAAAGGGTGGGAGTAAAAAGGAGAAGGGCTGGTATTATTTTACTCCTCGAGTGTCCAGTAAGGAGAAGAGAAACTTGTTTAGTTCAGGGCCATCATCCATCAAGGGATGGAAGGAGAAATTCTTTTTTGTTGATGATATTGAGTGGGGGAGGGGGATGCCGAAGTGGAATTCTTGTCCACTTGGAAGGCAAAGAAGGCCAACCAAAATAAATATAGTTTGAATGGGGATGAGGAGGAGGAGGTAGAGGAGTTGGTGAGAGAAGGGGATGATGTTGTGGAGGCAGCTAAGCTTTACGAAGCAAACTCTTTAACTAAAGGTGTGTTTTATTTTATATGGTGAAATTGCTCAGTGGGGTCTTGATGGTTGTTTTAACATTTCCCTATTTTGTAGACTAGATGAACAAGTTCCTTGTTGTAGCTAGGGGGTGGCAATTCCCAAGAAGCCGAAGAAGAAGTCCAAGACTTCAGCTGTAACTATTACTGCAAGTCAAGGGGGAGTTAGAGGTAAAGAGAAGGGATAACCTTCCAGTACCTCAGTTCGAGCTCTAGATGTTGAAGGGCTAAGGTTGGAGCTCAAACGGAAGGGAAGTGAAGACACTAGGCTTGCTCAAAAAAGGATGAGGGTGGAGGAGCAAGAGTGTAGGGGAGACGAGGTGGTGGAGTTCGTACCTCATCCTCCTCTAGTTGAGCTCGATCCTGAACTCAGGGAGGCTGGGGTTATAACCCATGGAAAAAGGAAATCCCTTGTTCCTGCTCTTTCACAGCAAGGTAGCTTGTTCGAAACAAATAGCATGACAGTTGCGAAGAGGTTTATAAACTCAACTTTCCTTGAGGTGGATCGTTGCCGAGCTTGGGAAGAAGTGTTAAGCCATGGTGGGGTTGGAATTATGAAGCACGTCCTTGAGGTATGGCTAGATTTTTTTTTTTTTTTTTGCTTGTCTATTTATTTTTTGATTGTTGTGGTGTTGTAGGTGGTGACCTTAGTGAATGCGCTATCATAACAGTTTTTTGAAACCCTCAAGGAATGTAATGTTTTGGCGAAGGAGAAGGAGGACCTAGGGAAGAAGGAGGACCTAGGGAAGAAAAAGGAAGAGGTGGAGAAGGATCTAGTAGAGGTTATGCCAGAGCTTACGTGGCTTCAAGCGGAGAATGATGCATTGAAGATGAAGCTCACATTTGAGGAAAGGAAGAGGAAAAGGAAAATTTGTAAGGAAAAGATAGCAGCGTAGGAGAAAGAGATTGAGGAGATGAAAAAGGCTGCAACCAAGTTGAAGAAAAACATAAACTTGCTGGTTCACAATGCGATGGAAGATCACATTGTTGAGTTTCTGAAGTCCAGCACCTTTGACAACATCATGAACCTCTACGGGCTTTCTATAGCTATTCTGGCATTCTTAGACTGTAGAAAGAAAGTGAAGGCACAACATCCCGAACTGGATGTGACTGGCATCACCTTTGGGGAGCAAGAAGGAGAAGTGGAGGAAAATGGAGAAAGCATGATAGCTGACTTTCGTCTTAAAGTCGAGCTGAAATGAGATCACGACAGTGAAGGTTGTACCATTTTTCCTCCGAACTTCGACTTTAAGTTCGTTGCGGTTGAAGAGGGAGAACTAAAAGCTAGGAGTGCAGAGGTCGGAGGTGTTGAAGTTGCAAAGAATGAGCTAGAGCAAGAGGCCGATTAGCAACCTCCACCAGAAGTGGACCGGCCACCTCTTCCAGTACAATAGCATGTTTTGTTTTCCTAATTTCTTTCTTCTTGTGCTAAACTCTAAACAATGTGTTTGTTTTGTTTAAGATGTTTTTATAACATTTATTAACAATTCATTTATATATTTGAGATTTGTTTTGAACATTTATATATTTTTATTGCGTATGCTTTAAGTAGGAATTGAAACGAAAACACCTCTTTTTATTGAAAAGAAAGAACGTGATGTGAGATCCATTAATGAAATTAAAATTTAAGGAATGAAATGAATTAACAAATTGAGCTCGAACAAAGGTTCTAGAGAACCAAATAAGTGACAATTTGATCTTGGACAAAGGTTCCAAAGAACTAAATGACAAATTGATCTCGAACAATGGAGTTAATAAAATAAGACAAAGTTTGCTGGAGGAATTGAATTAAGGGTAAAACTTTTTCAGATTGTTCGCATTTCAGACTCTGGGAACCCTTTTCCTTTCAGCGTCCTAAAGAATATAGGCACCTGAGTGCAACACTTCAACCACTGTATAAAAACCTTCCCAATTTAGGGCTAATTTGCCAAAATGAGTTTCAAATCCCATTAGACTAGCTTTCCTTAGAACAAGGTCACCAACTATAAATGTTTGAGGGTGAACCCATTTGTTGTAGAAGTTGGCTAATCTCTGCTAGTATGCCAAAGTTCGAAGTCGTGCTTCCTCTTTGACTTCGTCAAGCAGATCAAGGTTCTCCCGAAGCAATTGTCCATTTTGTTTTTCATCGAAATGGGTGATCCTAAAGCCCGGGACTCTTATTTCAACAAGAATGATTGCTTCAGTACCAAAGGCTAGGTGGTATGGTGTTTCACCTATTTCATTAAGTTATTGTTTTAGTATATGCTTTATATATTATATATATTTGACCTAAAATTGGGCAACAAGAAAATAAATAAAGTAATGAGAGAGTAAATAGGGTTAGGAAATAGTACATGTGGCAGTTTGGCTTGTAATTCTATATGCCTAGAGCACGTTGTTGAGCTCGTCTGTCCACCTGGCCTTATGTTGCTCCAACCTCAATTTTATTCCTTCCAAAATAGCTTTATTGACAGATTCTACCATACCATTGGACTTCGGGTGGTACACCGAGGTAAACTATAATTTGATTCCATAACTGAAGCAGAAGTCTCTAAATGAGGAGTAGTTGAACTGAGTTCCATTATTAGCCACAATTTGATTTGGAATCCCGTATCTACATATGATTGAACTGAAAATGAAGTCTTCAACCTTTTGGAGGTAAGGTTGGATAATGGCCGAGTTTCAACCCATTTCGTGAAGTAATTAACTCTGACTGCCAGATGGGTTACTCCTCCAATTCTTTTCACAAATGGGGATAAAAGATCGAGTCCCCACGGAGCAAATGGCCATGGTGCAACCAAGTTTGTAAGTTCCTCGGCCAATTGATGAGTTAGATGTGCAAATAATTGGCACTTTGGGCACTTCTGTACAAAGTAAGTGGCATCCTTGTGCATATTTGGCCAATAGTATCCTTGCTTGAGGACTTTATGAGCCAGGGTTCTAGCACCAACATGACTTCCATAGACACCTTCATGGACCTCCCGAAGTGCATATTCAGCTTTATAAGGGCCCAAGCATGAGAGAAGAGAAAGTGAAAAAGACCTCTTATACATGACTCCATCCATTAAAGCATATCGAGATGCTTTCTTTTTCAATCTCATTTCTTCTTGTTTATCTTCAGGAACTGAACCATCTTTCGTAAGAAAGACATAATTGGGTCTATCCAGCTCGGTGTGCTCGGATCTGTACTGATCTTCATCATCTTTGGTTTTTGGAAGCTAGGCTCATCTAGGACCTCAACAAAAATTGATCTGGTACCTTGAGGACCGTTAGAGACAAACTTAGAAAGTGAATCTGCTTGCTCATTTTCAACTCGGAGTATCTTACTTAGATAGAACTTCTCAAATTTGCACTTGAGTTCGGCCACCAAAACTACATACTTCATCAGAGTTGGGTCGACTACCTCCCAAATGGAGTTAACTTGATTAACTACGAGCTGTGAGTCACTATAAATCTGTATTTGTTGTACCTATGATTTTGATGATTACAAAACACATTTAAGTGACTAATTGGTTTATTTAAGTGTGTTGTTAAATTGCTAAAATATTGCAAAGTAAGTAAACTTGGACTACACTGAAAATGGACCAAAAGGCTTGAAAAATGTGCAGAAAGCTGGCTCTTGAAAGCTATAGCAGGCTCTAAGCGTTGCAATTGGCTCTACAGGTGAAAATTTCAAATCCGTTGTTTGGCACGAGTGGAAAACGAATGCAAAGTCGACTTTAACTTTACAACCTACTATGATGGTGCATTTAATGCATAATGGTCGAGTTATTTGAAGATTAATTAATGTTTTTAAAGTTGAAATCCCAAAGCCAGCTTTATATTTTTTAGTCGGCTCTATAGAGAAAATAGAATGTGCAGGAAACCTAAAAAGCCGGTTGCATATTTTTTAAGCTAGTTGCATATTTTTTAAGCTGACTGTTGAGTCAGCTCTAGAAGTTTAAGCCGACTGTGCTAACAATTTTGCAACTCGAACTATGCGACCTACAAAGCATTTAATGACCCCCAATGGCTAGAAATAGCCAATTTCAACCATGGGGTAATAAATATGGTTGGTAGAAGATATGGAAGAAGTTTAGAGAGCATTGTATTGAATATCTTTACTTACCAACTTGTACTTTAACTTGAGATTTTGATCTTTGAGAGATCTTTTTTGTAATCCTTTTCTTGTTCTATTTGTGAGTGATCTTGGGGGTGATATTATTCCTTCAAGAGTGATTTGTAGATAGGATTGTTTGGATTTATCTTGTAAAGGGGTGAGATTTGAGAGAAATACTCATTTTTTAGTAAAAGGATTGAATGGCTTCTTTAAGCCACCCTTGTTCTTGATAGTGGAGAGTGTGGAGGAAATCCTTGGTAAGTGAAGCCAAGGTAGAGGACTAGGCTCCAAGTGGTTGGACCAAACCTATATAAAATCATTGAACAAGCTTTTCTTCCTTACTCTCTTTAATTCTATGTTTTATGGTTGCAAAGAAGAGGAATTTTTTGAACTCCAATTCACCCTCCTTCTTGGAGTGCATTGAGTCAACCGTATTGTTGTGACTTTTAACTCCAACGCTAACTATAGACCAAGTAGCAAAGCTTCATATTTGACCATGTTATTAGTTGCATCAAAATTGAACTTCAAGGCATGCTCACTTTGGTAGCCATCTAGTCCCACCAAGACTACTTCAGCTACTAATCCTTCGTTATTTGATGCACCATCAACATTCAAAACTCATGTATCTGGTTCAACTTCCAGATGTGGTTGCTTAGTAGTACATTGGACAACAAAATTTGCTAATGCTTGAGCTCTAATTGTTGATCTATGCTGGAATGTTATTTTAAACTCCCCCAACTCGACTGCCCATTTGATCAACCAACCAGAACATTCTGGTTTTTGCAATATCTGTCAAAGTGGCTGGTTTGTGAGGACAACAATCAGCTGTAACTAGAAATATGGCCTTAGCTTCTTGACAGAAGTAACAATTGCTAGAGTTGCTTTTTCAATAATAGAATACCTCTACTCTACTCCGTGCAGTACTTTTCTAGTATAGTAAATTGGTTTCTGCTACTTTCCTTCTTCCTTTTGCTAGTATAAAACTGATTGCTTCGTGTGAGATACTGAGGTACAAGTAAAGGATCTCCCCATCAATAGCTTTCGTCAACAACGAAGGTGAGCTAAGGTAAGACTTAAGCTCGTCGAATGCAGCTTGGCATTCTGAATTCCATTCGAACTTTTTCTACTTGCCAAACTCATCTTTTTGAGTCGCCAATCTCATAATCTTGAAGAATGGAAGGCACTTATCAACAGACTTGGAAACGAATCTATGGAGGGCTACCACTCTACTAGTTAACCTCTACACATCTTTCATTGACTTTGGAGGTCCCATCTCCTCTATTGCTTTGATCTTCTTCGTGTTGACTTCAATCCCTCTTCTGGAAACCATGAAACCTAGAAATTTTCCCAATTCCACTCCAAATATGCACTTTTTTGGATTTAATCGCATCTTGCTTCTCCTCAAATTGGTGAAAGTTTCATCCAGGTCAATTAAATGATCTTTAGCTTTCAAGCTCTTCACAACAATGTCATCAACATAAACTTGCAAGTTCCTACCAATTTGAGCTCGGAAGACAATGGTCATCATTTTCTAATAAGTGGCATTTGCATTCTTTAAGCCAAAAGGCATCATAACATAACAATAGATTTCATCACTTGCATAAAATGAGGTTTTTCTTCATCTATAAGGGCCATTGGAACTTGGTGATAACCATAATATGTATCTAAGAGGCTCAATCTCTCATTTCCAAAAGCTGCTTCAACCAACTTGTCAATATTTGGCATGGGGTAGCAATCTTTGGGATAGTCCTTATTAAGGTTAGTATAGTCGATGTACATTCACCACTTGCCATTAGCTTTCTTGACCAACATTGGGTTGGCAACCCATTCACAATAGTCGACTCTTTAATAAAGCCTGCTTGTAGGAGTTTTTCTACTTCATCCTTAATCACCTTGAGTCTCTCCCTCCCAAAGAGACATTGTTTCAATGCTACTAGCTTTTTCAAGGGATTGGTGCTAAGTTTGTGCATGGATACAGAGGTAGGGATTCCTCGCATGTCTGCAAAGGTCCAAGCAAAAACATCTTTGTTAGCTTGGAGGAAAGCTATTAACTCAGCGCTTTCCTTTATGTTCAAACGAGTTTCGATTTGGGTTTTTCTATTCGAATCTCTGTCATCAATCTGTACTTCCTCAACATCTTCAACTAGAGTAGCCCGAGTTTCATCCTTTGGCTGATTATCGAGTATCTCTACCCCAATCACCTGTTGTTGGTCAAGAA